CGATTGCATGGGTTCTCTGGTATGGATTTGGTTCGGATTCATCCTAGCCTCGTCAGGTGGATATTTTGCATAACTGACGATATCCTTCATGGGAAGTTCACTCGAAGGCGCGCCCCCGCACCTGAGGTGTTGGTTCGGACTCATCCGAACCACATCAAACTCCTTTCTACCCCGGCGCGCCCTCGCTGCCACTCCCTCCCCATAACGCTCTCGAATCCTCCTCCACCATCTCCCACGGCCCCCCACCCCCCCGGCCACTTAAACAACACCCTTGCGCCCCCCGTCCGAAAAACACGGCTCTGATTTATCCGAAACGAAATGTGGGCGCAATGGATCGACATCCGACCGTTCTGTGATCAAGTATGATACCATTCAGAATACAGAATGCTCGGATGTCAACCCATGGCGCCCACAAAGAATGCTCGGAAGCATTCCTGGTGACGCGGTGCGCGGGGAAGGGGGGTTGGGGGGAGGGGTGGGGGCGGGGGGCCGGTTTCCACGATAGGGGTGATGATTGGTATCATTCTTGAACGTAGAATGCTCGGTGCGGATCCATGGCGCCCACGTTTCGATTTGTCGAGAACGTTGACAGCTATTAACACAGAAACGGCGTCTTCATTCCTGTGTTCAAGAATTATACTAATCCCCATCCACCAACACCCCTGCGGCCCCCGTCCGAAAAGCACGGCTCTGATTTATGCGAAACGAAATGTGGGCGCCATTGATAGACATCCGACCGTTCTGTGATCAAGTATGATACCATTCAGAACACAGAACGCTCAGATGTCAACCCATGGCGCCCACACAGAATGCTCGGAAGCATTCCTGGTGATGTGGTGCACGGGAAGGGGGGTTGCGGGGAGGGGTGGGGGCGGGGGGCCAGTTTCCATGATGGGGGTGGTGATTGGTATCATTCTTGAACGTAGATTGCTCGGATGCGGATCCATGGCGCCCGCGTTTCGATTCGGACAAATCCGTGCCATTGCTGGCCGGGGATTAGTATCATTCTTGAACACATGAATGAAGACGCCGTTTCTGTGATAATAGTTGCGGACGTTCTCGCTGTCGTTTGCGCGTACCTTGTCCACGTCAGAGTGCGGAGTGTTCGGAAGACTTCCGAACATATAATGCCCACGTGATGCTGCATCGCTACGGCTAGTGGCACACCGTTTCCCGGTTAGACTAGACGGATGGGGAAGCACACAGTTATGGTGTGGTAGTGACGCGATCGTTGCAATCCGTTGCGTAGTGCGAGCAGTGCGCGATGGTGGCAAAACCGAGTGGCGGTCTGGATGTTCGGACACGCAATGCGATCGCGATCGCGCGCGGTCTGTGCATGAATGGTGCGGATGTTTGGCGGCTGCGCGATCTCGGTGATTCGCGGGTTGCATTGAAGCAGAAACTTCTTGCTTGACGTGTCGCTTTCGTAGGCCGTCACGCATGGCAAGGCCTCCACATGCGCATGTGACGTTTGCGGACTAGTCCGTGGTGGTGACAGTGTGCTGGAGTGAGCAGGTATTGTTGCTTTGAAAGCACCTCTCTCAATGACGCATGGCAATCCCTCGACATGCGCACATGACGTCAGACCCACACGTCAGGCAATCTGCACCCCGAAAGCCGCAATCTATTGCGACATGCAGGGGTCATGGTCTGGATGATGACGTCAGCATGTGTGAATAGCTCGTCGTTTCCATGGCTACGATCGTTGGACTCGAATGGCGGGCATGCATGACGCGAGTGCGGCGAAGTCACACGTGACGTGCGGTGTACAGGGCGGGCATCCACGACGCGCGTACGCACGTGGCGTGCCGTTCGATGGCCCCGATCTTTGGACACGAATGGCGGGCATGCACGACGCGTGTGCAACGTAATACAACAAATGGCGGCAGTGCATGGTTATCACGTCGTCGATATCGCGTGGCGATATGCTACGTGCATAAAGGATCAATCAACCATTCAACCGATCAATGGATCAATCAACCGCACGGTCATGCACAACACGGGCGACTAGATACCGACAACATCACGTAGTGGAGGACAGTTGAAAAAGGCGGAACGGTAGAAGAAGACGTGGACGGGGGAGAAGACGTGGGTTCGTGGCGGAGTTAAGGGGCACGGTTAAGGACATAGGACTGGTTCTCACCTGTGATTCGCCAAACACCGGAAGCGCCAGCAAGAACAACGAAGACCGAGCGCCTTGGCACGGGGAGTCGCATGTAGCGTGCCGTTAACGGAAGAGCACCGACTGTTTCTTGGCGATGGCGGACGCGTCATCGCGGCAGCGCAGGAGATGTGCGACAGCAGAAACGGGGTCGATAGCCACCCTAGTTGGATTGATGCGGTCCAGGAGTGCACTGCACTCCAACCTGGGGGGGCGTGGGAGCTCTTGAGGTGGCCTGGATGCGGGCGGTTCCCCTGGGGACATCTGCTTGGGCCTTCCATTTTGCGAGGACTTCCTGCAATGTAGAGTTCAGAAAAAACCTGCTACAACAACGTGGGGTCCGGACGCGGTTGAACATCCGAACGTCTGGTTTGGATTCATCCGAACCACAAACGTTGCTCGAACGGACAAGTAGGCGTGCGGTTCAGTATATCCGGACTCGTCCCGGTTACATGAACAGCCTTGGGAGTTCGGATGAGTCCGAACCTCCGCGGTCACGCTCCTCCCTCGGATCCGCCTGGGAACTTCGGGATGAACAGGAACACGGCACGTGAAAGATGGGCGAATCCGGACACATGATAGCGTAAAGTCCAAACAATGCTAAGCAACAATCTGATAAAGCGTGAAGTCCGAAAAATGCTAAGCATCCAGACACAGCAGTCCACAATTCGACAATCTTGAGTTCCGATGGCTTCGGTTCGGAGGTCCTTTCGTCTTTTTTTCTCACACTTTTCCCTTCGTCTAATCGGTGTGTTTATCACGCTTTGCGCCTCGTCAACGCGTGTCGAATCAGCGGTTCACGGATGGATCTCATCTTTGTCGTCACATTCACTTCATGTCTTCATGATCGTGCTATGAAAATACGAGTTCTAGTGTCTTTTAATGTATAGCTGCCACTCTCGCTCATTACTCGTTGTTCGGAAGACACGTGCATGAATGGCGGGTTGATTGACTTGTTGATAGATCGACTACTTGATCGGTCCATCGTCTGAGCGGCTCATTGATTGGTTGATTGATCGATCATCCGATCGAGCGGCCAGTCTATCAACTAACCATTCAATCAATCAAACGATCATTCAATCAATCAATCAATCAATCAATCAATCAACCAATCAACCAATCAACCAATCAATCAATGAACCGACCAGCCAGGCAACAAATCATATTATCCAATCAATCAACCAATCAATCGCCCAATCTAACAAATAACCAATCAATCGACCGCCCAGTCATGGCTTAATCAATCAAGCAAAGGAAGACGATCACCAACACAGGTCACAATCAATCAACCTCACACCTCCTTCCGAACCCTTGTTCCGCCGACGCAGACCCCAATCCGACCCCATCCGACTCGTCAGGCGGATTGCGCGCGGACACAAGTCGAACGCTACGTTGACGTGGCCGCGCTGGCTGAAGAGGACTCATGTCCGACCACAGCGCGACTCACTCTGCACTGTCATCTGGCCGTCAACGCAAAAACTGTGTGAGAAGGCTGAACGTTAGAGAAGAAGTTCCCGATTCCCATATTGGTGTCCGGATTTCGCGGTGGACTTTTTTGTATGATATCTCCGGTCGTCAGCAAGTACATTCCACTTGAATGGCGGGAAGTGAACATTGGCCGCATGCACTTCGGATCTCCAATCAACCGGCCAATCTATCAACCAACCATCCAAATGATCAATCAACCGAACGGGGAGGCCAAAGCTCGGATGAATCCGAACCATGATGGTGGTCCGCGGACGGATCGGTCAACACGAGTCTTCGACACAAAACTCGCCTTGTGCAGTCGCATCAGTCGAAGACTGGAAACCAAACGTGTTCGCCGAGACCTACGAATGAATACAAACCACCCCGGTCAAATTCGGATGCATCCGAGCCTCCTCCGTCTCGAACTCCGCCCCCCCTTCAAAATCACAACAATGTGTATTGAAACCCGAATTTTTGGATGAATAGGAACCACAGCCTCTTGGCAACCGAAGCCTGGATGGATGAACTGGCGAAAACGATACGTGTCGACCATCCCTTGATTAAGACGGATTAATCCGAAACTCTACCAACGAACTTAGCTTCTTGCTCTAACGATTCGAGGAATGATTGTGCTCTCCTGTGAAAGGGGAAGTTCCTGCGATGTGGAGCTCGGAAAAAAACTGTTACAACAACGTGGGGTCCGGACTCTGTCGAACATCAGAACGTCTGGTTCAGATTCATCCGAACCACAAACGTTGTTCGAACGGACAAGCAGGCGTGCGGTTCGGTTCATCCAGACTCCTCGCGGTTGCATGAACAACCTTGGGAGTTCGGATGAATCCGAACCTCCGCGGTCACGCTCCTCCCTCGGATCCGCCTGGGAACTTCGGATGAACAGGAACACGACACGTGAAAGATAGGCGAATTCGGACACACAATAGCGTAAAGTCCGAACAATGCTAAGCAACGATCTGATGAAGCGTAAAGTCCGAACAATGCTAATCATCCAGACACAACAGTCCCCAATTCGACAATCTTGAGTTACGATGGCTCCGAACATAACCTTGTCAACTTCCGATGATTCTGGACCGCACCGTTGATGTCGACAATCCCCATGTGGAGTTCGGATGAATCCGAATTGCACACCTGGTCTGGTCTGTGTGGATGGTGGCCGTCGTGCTTGTTGTGGGTCCATCGGCGATCTGCTACTCCCGAGTTGGTGGGATAGGTGTGGCGATGACATGCAACGTTTGCCTTGCCCCGTTGTCAGATGGCGTTGTTTCAGGGTCTGTCTGGTCTGTGTGGATGGTGGCCGTCGTGCTTGCTGTTGGTCGAGGCTGGTGTTGGGACGCGCTCGCGTTTACGCTCGCTTGCTGAGTAAACGTGTGTTCACTTGCTTCGCGTGTGTCGGGGAATGGTTACTCAAGGACAAGCCCACTCTGGTGGCGGCTCCTCTCCGACGGGGGAAGATCCTCAAAGGACGTCGTCAACACCAACCGCCACAACCGGTCCACGAGGTCACAATGTGGATGAACAACGAGGATCCCACAACTTGTGGTGCGACTGCAGCAAGAGGGCCTGGTATGTGGACTGGGTCTGCCAAGACACCTCCAACCCGTTGCAACCTCAATGCGGGTCTGTCTTGTTCGTTGTGGGTCGCGGCGATACGATTTGTCTCGCAGGGTCCATCGTCGGTTGGGCTGAAGGAAACGGTGACATTCTGCGTCTCACCTTGCGGAAGTTGTACCGAAGTGACGGGTCTGTCGACGGGCTCGCCAAAGGATGCAGGGTTTCAGGGAGGATGTTCTGGGGATATGGCGAGAGAGCGATGGCTTTGCCCATCTTCGTTCCCTTGGCGCCATGCCACGACGAAGCCGTGCACTTGAAAGACTTCCTCGAGGTCTGGTCGAGTACAGTCGGCCCTAACAATGCCATGGACGTGGACCCTGGGACATCGATTAGTGGTGCAATTGGGTTCGCGGGAGGAGAACGTTTTCGCGAAGGTGCGGGAGGCGGGGCTGGACTTGCCGGTACGCCTCCTGATCCGCAAGTGGGCATCCGTAACTTCAACCTCGACAAAGCGTGGAGGTGAACATCCGTAACTTCAACCTCGACAAAGCGTTCTTCCTCGATACCGATGACGAGGTGCAGAAGGACGCCGTGTTGCGCGTCCACCCCGAGAGAATCTTGCATATTCCCGAGTGGGAAGACGCATACAACCACCGATCCCTGGACGAGTTTCTCGTGGATACCATCGCGGAGGTCATGATCGAATCTTACGAAAACACAAACAAGAAATATATAAAGCCGACTTTGGTTCTGGCTCCGCTCGTCGCGCCGCCGGAGGATGGGGTACCTGCTGTGCGCGTGCTGCCTCAAGACTTCGACGCCACGCACCCGGAGAAGTACAGGTATTATCCAGTGTGTGGTCAGCATAACGCGAGGGCGGCGATGAAACTGAAAGACCATCCACTGTTCAAAAAGTTCAACATGGGCGCTTGGCCTTTCAGACCAATTTACTTCCCTGACGAGGAGTTCGACGGCTACGCCCATGTCAGCTGCGAGGACAATCTGAAAGACAAGAAGAATCCATCAAGGTTGCAGATTTTGTCGATGCAGAACATTCGCCAAATCTGGAAACTTAGGGGGAAACCGCGTGTCGTGCTCGGTAATGTGTCGAAGAAACAGGAGGCGGTGCGTGAGTGGGTTAGGTTCATGGGCTTGGCAATGAAGATGACGCCATACGAGAGTTTGTGGGCACTGTCAGGGGATGGTAAAAAGAAAAAGGAATGGGCCGAGAAACTTCGGTACTATCTGCCGCTGGCCATGGCTGACGAGTCGGTGTTCCAATTGGCGGAGAAGTTCTACAAGGAGTGGTCCGAAGGAAAACTTCTGGCGTCGAACGGCCAACGGTGGACTGAAAAGCCACCGACCAATGAAGAGGTGGCTAGGTCGGGACTGTCGATCGTGACTGACAGCAAGGGACAAAAGAAACACGTCTGGTACGTGAAGGTGGACGACCCTTCACTGAGAAAGGGCAAGGGCAAGCCTAAGAAAGGTGCAGTGGAGAAAACTTACTACGTCCAAGTTCCGGAGCCTCATGTGCACAGCTGGAAGGAATTGGCAGACCTAACGCACCGCGAGAAAAGAAGGTTGTTGAAGGGGGTCTTGAGCCTCAACGTCGTGTGGGTTCAAGGGAGTAACAAGAAGTTGGCGGAGCAGGGAAAGTTCAGCGTGAAGGATATGGTCGACATAATAAAAATCGACCGGATTATGCTGAGGCTGTGGCACTACGTGGAGTTCGAGTACGAGGGCAAGCTTAAGGAGGAGTGGAATGTCAAAGCGTCATTCTTCACGTCCAAGCAGAAATTGTTTGAAGAGTATGCAGACAAAGGTCTGGACGAAAAGCTTTGGAACGAAGCAGAAAGTTTTTCACTGACAGCTCGTACGTTAACAAGTGCCCTATGTTTCTAGGGTGTCCCCATGACGCCAACACGAAGAAGACCTTGGCCCTCGTGAACGACCAACATTTCCCGGCGGAGTGGAAACGGGTGGTCTTGTCGGTGATTACAAGAGATCGCGCGCAGATCAAAAAGGGTCCTCAAGGCATTGATGAATGCGTGAACATTATGTGGAGGAAGACAAGCGCAGTGACAACGCTGGCCACGTTCATCGTGGACCCCTTCAATGCCTCGGATCGTAAGGACGCGCTAAGGAAATTTGCACATCAGTTACGCGCACATACTTGCGTGCTCGACTTTTGCGGAACCGTTGATCGGTCGCGCTGGGATGCGGGGGCTTTCGCGTCTCTGAGGGATTTGCTCGGCTTTGTCTTTCAGGACTACTGGACGTTGGTGGTGTTCGTCCCCTGCCTGTGGAACCTCCCATTCATGACGTCTTTGTCTGCCCTCGGGGCAACACGTTGCTACACGGGGAAATGGGTGCGCAAAATGCAGGTGAAGAAGACCCATCAGTTCGGTAACAGCCTGTGGGAGGAGCCGGATGTGATGCACATCCTTTTCAAAGGCGAGGATCCGCTGCTGCTGACTCACCCTGTGTAYGAGGGAKCTCTTGYCGAAGACGATGYCGCTGCTCTCCGYARGAAGCARAGAGCRACACCTACGGACGTTGTGGAGCAGCCTTTCAAGTCTTTGAATTTCGCAGACTTCGAAAACCTCACCCAGCGGGGGACTGTGTACAAGGACCTTGAGAGGAACCCCAGTCARTTGTGTAGTCAGCTGCAGTTCTTCTGTGGTGTGGCGGATGCCGTGCTGTTCCTGGGCAAGCCGCACGCACAGGTGGTGTGGAATATGCTTCACACCGGCAGGCACATCTTGGCGCTTGATGGGGACTGCACACAACTTCAATACACCCAGCAATTTGTTGTCCACGAAGTCGAGTCCGGGGCTTACGATTACGATTTCCACCAGGTAACCGTCGAGCCAGTATATGATCCTGATAAGGACATGTTCATCAAGTTAACACCTAAGAAACGACGCCAGGTCTACGACTTCCTTTTCGCAACTACACCTCGGTGGAGACTGGAAGAGATGTTCCTGCGGCGAAAGGAAGTCGCCGTTGCTGTACTCCAGGGATACCACGAGGCGAGTCGGGCGAGCGTAATGGATTTCATGAGGAGGTTGGAATACGTATTCTTCAATAAAGGTGTGCAAAAACCGGAGGACTTCACTTTGGACAAGTATAGGCTGGCATTTGGCGAGGACGACGACTTCAATATCGACACTGAGCAGGAGGTGAGCGTCGAGGACGACCTTTTCGATTTGGATGRCCAATTTAAAATYTTCAAYGAGCAATTCCCTTCTGAGTCGCCCTCGGTAKGCAAACYGGGAACACCGGTCGTTACACMCACGTCAGGCGGTCCCACACCCRGGTCCTCCACGGCGCCTSTCAAGAGGGGTGGGTTGTCCCGTCTGAAGAGCTCGCCAGGGGAGGCACTTCGTCTAACACCGCACCCCGAACGTTTAAAACCAGGCCAACCAGTTCCTCTTGACCATCCGCATCTGTTGAATCCTTCAGTGCCGTACCACATGGGCGACAAGCACACCTTCTCCAAAGCAGAAGAATGGGGCCATGATATCGTATGGCACCCCGACCACTTCCAGCCAGTGCTTCTTGATGGCAAATGGGCAGTGGCTGTGAGGGAGCATACTAGGGGGTGGGCATACGACGAGCGATGGGACCTTGACACTTTCAGGGCTCAAGCCTACGACGCGGTATTGGAGAACTTAAGTGATGTTAATCAACGAAACAGGGAGGACCCTGCTCTGCAAGCATACGCGGAGAGCTTGTTCGATCTGTTAGCTTCCAACAAATGGTTGGAAATAACCTCCGCGTTCTACAGCCTTCCGTCGAGCCCATCATTGAGCAAAGTGAATTGGGAGCTTCCCGGGATTACGCTGACCGCAGCAGTTGTGAAGCACAAGTCTCGAGGCAAGGACGACGAAGGGGATGGTCAAGGCGGCCGTTTGCATGAATCGGGGGGAGGAAGTGACCGTCCGTCGATGAGAAGAAAGTCTTCTGAGCACGAAGGGGGCAAAGAGGGAAAGAAGGGCAGTGGAGAGAAAAAAAAGCCTCGCAGCGGAGAGAAGAAGAAGCATCACAACGGAGAGGGTATCGGGGACAGTGAGGTGGCGGTGGTAGCATGCAGCGCCTCGATAGAGATGGGAAACGACTTCACGCCAGGATTGATTTCGCAACCCGCCAAGCAGGAATCCATAATTAGCTCCACCAGCACGACACATGTTAGCGCCACGGTTGCCGGGACAGTTGCTGCTAAAGCTGCTTGTGGCCCTGCTCAGAAACGCCCCGAGGATTGTCCCGGATCCATCTGAGTCACGATAACGACGTCCTTGTCCGGAACTCAGTGTCATGCGGATAGCGAGACGACAACGTACCTCGGGTCCGACTACGAGAACCAAGAGCCGCTTTCCGTCCCCCTTCGTGAGGAAGTTTGGATTAATCCGAACCTGGCTGTGGTGTCCGTCGAAACAACCGACCGGTCTGCGAAGCTCGAGCGGACGGGTGGGGTTTTCCAACACCCTGCCGGTGAACTTCGGATTGATCCGAACCAGGTGGTCGTGTCAACTTCGACGGCCGATGGGCGTGAGGATACCGAGATGTTGTCCGTGAAAATTTCAAAGGTCATACAGGAAAATTGTCCGTCTTCTGAAGTCTGTGTTCTAGACGTCGCCATGGAAGCCCCGGAGAGTGAGTTAGCGCCCTCTTCCAGTGACAGGTCCCGCGCACCAGAAGCGGAATGCCCTGTTCCGGTGTGCGCTTCGCTGGCTTTGAAAAGCGACTTTGCGGTGACATGCGGAACGTCCGCGCCATCAGGCCCTGCAGCATCTCGGATGAATCCGAACCTGGGGGGCGTGGACGTGTCCATCAATGATGGTGGTTTGGAGTCCGTGGTGTGCGGACACGTCGCCCCGTTGGACAGAGCGGATGGATTCGCGGGGAATCGGATTGATCCGAATCCGAGCGGCGTGGACATGTTCGTTGACTCTCGGGGAGACGAAATGCAGACCATGGTCCTGGACGAGGGAGTCGTATCGGGTTCCGACGACCCCTTATACTCGGGCCTTCATGACGACGCTATAGGAGAGGATATTCTGAAGAAGGCTTCGGAGGGTTTTAAGGATGGTTTGTTCTACGGAAGTGAGGACGACAAAGCCACTGCCGACGGCGACAAGAAGCTGAGGGAGGGAGATATCCTGTTGGACATCCAAGGGGCCTTGAGCCTGCAGCACGACACTGCGGCCGCGAAGAAGACACAACCTGTTCATCTTGTCGACCTCGACTCTTTCAGTTCGGAGAAGGGCGGCATGAAATCGTTTGTGGCGATCGTTGAGGATATGAGCCTTCGGGAAGAAGTTCTGTCGTCTGAAGTCCTCGACGCCGACATCTGGAACCTTTCAGGTTTCCCGGCTGGTTTGGAGCACGTCGTCGCGGCGTCGACATGCAGGTTCTCGCAAGCCGTGATGGGACTAGCACCGGTGGACTCGGGCCACGTGGGAGCTAAGCCTGGTAAGCGGTGAACTTCTCTGCTTGCCACCCGCTCGTCAAACCGATCGTGAGGTGCTCTTTGCTTCGTTGTTGTTGGGAAGTTGTGTTGCAAGCCGCCGTTTCCAACGGTTATCTTAACCGACGCTTATTATAGTCAAGCATGTTGTGGTATTTCTTGTACAGGTCGGCACATTTCTGGAGAAAATAGCATGTCGTTGGAGCCGGCTGCGTCCGCGAAGTTGTCTGCCTTGCTTGCCGGAGGCGCTAGAGGTAGCAACGTCGCCGGTTTCTTTCTTCGGGACACGAAGCATCGGGGGCCTCCCGAACGGCTGGTTGTTCCCATGTTGAGCCCGCGCGCGAAACTCGTTTTAGAGGCAGCGGGTGTTAGCGAGAGGGACTGTAGGCTGATCCTTCAGGAAGCTTGCAAGGACATAAACAAGGACAGTGCTACTTCAAAATCAACTGTATATAGAAGGTCAAGAAGTAGGGGTGACGTGATGCGTGAAATTTTTGGGCCGGGGAGTGGGAGTCCGTCGGACCCATGTCGCTAGGGCGGCATTTTCTCATAGTCCTTCGTCCTTGCTGTGTTCTGCGGGTGTTTGTTGAACAGGGTATCCTCTAGATGGAAAAGAACTCCTCGAAGACATTGTGCGTTGTCGACTGCCGCTCAATTTGGTTGCAGCGCGTTCGCCGTCCCACAATTTACGGGTGTCGATCAGGGACATGGTCACTGTCCTTGATAAATACGGGGAGCTTAACGATGAGATCGTCAATTTCTACATGGCGATGATACTGGACGACTGCAGCCGATCCACAACTGCCAAGAAGACTTACACCTTTAACTCTTTCTTCGCGTCAACATTGTTGCTCCGAGGGCCGGCAAGTGTGATTAAATCGGCTAAAGATGTCAACCTCCTATCTCAAGATCTTATCTTGGCACTCGTGCACAATGGCGGCTCGCACTGGAGCCTTTTGGCAATTGACTTCTCTCGTTTGCCAGTTCGTCATCGGAAGATGACTTCTATTCTACACTTTTTGATTGCGTCGTTGAGTATTTGAATATGGTGGCGAGTGCCACCGCTGATCGTCGCACTTTCAACCGCTTCGCACACGAGGTCTGCAAGAAAGGTGTCCCTCGGCGGCAGGACGGGGTTAGTTGTGGGGTATTTATGTTGATGTTCGCTTCCTGTTTAGCGAAAGGTTTGCATCCACCTTGTGGTTTCTCTCATACACACATCGCGTCTATCAGAACTATACTAGCCTTGGCGATTTGTTGTGTTGGTAGGTGAGCGTGTTGCTGTTTGTTATTTCGTCGTGTAGAAGCATTGGCGTACCAGAACATTTCGTCCTTCTGCAGATTCTTTCTCGTATTGTGTTTCATGGGAGTTTCGTAGGTGTTTTCGAATTGGTTTGAAACGAATCAGCGCGGACTTCTCATGTCAGCGGTGTGTTCGCACGATGCATTCTATTGTTTACGAATTGGCTTCCGTATACAATTGCTTCTCTCGGCTTTTACCAAGCGTGTTTTCGTTAATGTCTTTTTTGCTTTCCTTACTTCGTGTCCTGTGTGGTGTGATGTTATCTCCACATAATGGGTGCATCCGAACAGGCACTTCTCATGATGTCATGTTCAGCCTCTAAAGCACCTCTTAGACTCCCTCTTTGTCTATTGCTTTCCTTACTTCGTGTCTTGTGTGGTGTGATGTTATCCCTGCATGATGGGTGCATCCGAATTGCACGTTTCTTGATGTCATGTTCAGCCTCACCTCTGAGACTCCCTCTTTGTCTACATTGTTCTAAAAGAAGCAAAATACAAGACAAGGGTCTGTACCTGTCCTCCGCCCCTCTGTGTGGTTTGGCCTTTGAAAGGACCCATGCTGCTTCCCTGTAATGTTG